CTGGTGGATGGATACATCCCAACCATGTCATCCTAAAGACACACGTTGATTGGCATCGAGCTTGCGTTGCTGAGATAGCGAGCTTTCTGCCTGCTGCACCGCTGCACGCTCGAGCAGCGTGCGGATCTCCCGATGGGCCCAACTGTCTTCGGGTGTCGTGGGCTCGAGAGCCCTCAGAGCAAGGCCGCCACAACAGCTATGTTCTGGCTTGTCCATGCGAAGCGCAGGAGATCTCCACCATCCTCGATGATCCTCTAGTTTATGTCACGGGCGATGGCATGCGCATGGCTACCGTCTCTATGGTGTTCGATCTCACGCTTGAGCTCCACATGCTTCTGCTACAGCTGGAGTCACGCATCCTCGATCTCCTTATGTCATGCCCTCAGTTGCTCTACCCATAGGCGAGGTGGGGTCCCTGCATCTCCCTCGACATCATTGTCGGGGTCATTCGTAGGAGTAGCCCTCCCTTGTGGATGCTTTTGATGCGCCCCTCGGGGTGCTTGCCATGAAGCATTCTCGCGAGGGGTGATGGCTTCTCCTGCTGGAGTCAGAGTCGGAGGTTGTCTCTGAATCTCCCTCGAGAAGGTCGTGGAAAGATTCCACGACATAGTCCGTCATACCCATGAATTCATCGTCCGTGGGGATGTTGCGCCGCGAGGTGACCAATGGTCCTTGTAGCGTTACGTCAGACCAAATCAGGAATGCTGTCGGGGCGCTCCGGGTGACATATTCCGGGGAGAGCGGTTCCCCTCCGGCAAGGTGCATCAAGACGTTGGCGAACAAGAAGATGAGGTAGCCCAGGTCCTCCCGGGAAGTTTGGGGTCCTAGGAAGGGGTCGAGCTGGTGCTTCAAGCTCCCGTAATTGAAGCCAAGGAGCTGGTCGCTCCTAGGGGCACGGTCCTCCGGGGCATGCAGCTGTAGCTCTTCGAGGGCCACGATGGTTGTGTCGAGGCCCGTGGAGCAAAGAAGTTGGATGAGGGCGGGAGCCACGCCAGCTCTTCCTCCATGGTGACGAAGAAATCTAGGCTCCGAAGCGCACGTGCGCGCCGGGACCTAGCTAACGCCGTGGCTTGCCATCCATGGCTTGTTGTGGACGACGAGACACGCAAAAGGCCCCTACCTGGTGCGCCAACTATCGGTGTTTTAAACCGCCAACTAGTAAATTTGTGTTTGCGCGTCTGGTCCGGATGGTGTGCTCGGAGAACACAAGGGTTTATACTGGTTCGGGCGGAATGTCGCTACGTCTAGTTTGAGGCTGCTCGTGTTACCGTCACTTATTTGTAGTAGGGGTTACAAATGGGCAAGAGAGGGAGAAGGTCCCAAGTCTCTGATGGATGGATCGAATGGAGTTGAGTCTAGTTAAACTCCATCCCTCCCGTGGGACGTCCTGCTTTCCTATTATAGGTGAAGGGGAAGATGCATGTTACGAGAGAGAGAGAGAGAGAGAAGCGAGGAGGAAGGGGGCCTCTAGGGTCGCATTGTCCTTCATCCCCCCTCCATGGGTCCCGCCGGTCCTATAGATGATGATGGGGACGGCTCCACGTCGTGACCCTGTTCGCCACTGGCGCTACACGCGGGCGTTGTCAGCCGGTTGTGGCAGCCCATTCCGTCCCGGCAGGCAGCATGGTCAACAGGTACCCCTGATGGAAGTCGTACGGGGGGTTAGGCAGCACAGTGTTGGCCTGCTCGATGCTGTCGGCGACGTGAGCTCTCAAGTATGGCTCGTCGTGGCCACGGGTCACGTTAAGACGTGCCTACTCCCTTTCTGGTGTCAGAAGTTTGACCCCGGGTCCGTACTCTTATACCCGTAGTTGTTGGAGACGGTGCGGGTCCCCGTGGGGCCTATGCTCCCGCCCGAGACCGAATATGTTCCCTTAGGGTCGGGCGAGGTGGAATCCCCCCTCGAGGGGTCGGACGAGACAGAGCCCGCGCCTCGGGTCGGACGAGACAGAGCCCGCGCCCTCGGGGTCGGACGAGACGGAGTTCGCATCCTTGAGTCGGACAAGACGGGGTCCACGCCCTCGTGGTCGGGTGAGTTAGTTGTTCATGGCCATTAGACTTCTTTCTTCTAGGTATCCCTAATATCGATAACCGACACTTGGCAAGTCATTTTTTTGTTGGTGCAAAATAGAAGCAAGTAAAATAAAAGAATACACACATGGAAGTCCTCATCGTCAAGGATGCGAGGAGAGAAATATATTTCAAAATGCAGCAATTTCACAAGATTCATGTAACAATTTTATAGGAATCGGTTTAATTTCACATGAAACACGTAGGAACACTGTCCTACTTCTTATTCTTTTCCACATTCTTTCACCTCCAGATTGGCGATAGATACGCGTGCGTATATTTCTGCGTGATCGTGCCTATTTTTCTAAGTGAGGAAAGATTGGAAACTGAGATTAAGAGTTGTTGGAGAGCACGTTTTTCAATCTTGCTAAAAAATCAAGATTGGGAGTGGATTTTGAAAACTCTTGAAGATACTCTTAAAATCCAAAAATAGAAAGGAGAACCAGCTAGCACAGTGCTTAACCAAAACTCCAAAGAGAAGAAACCTACCGGTTACAACATATTAGGCCATGTTAAAATTACATCATGTCAATCATGTCCGATTCTCTAGAAAATCTTGGCAAACATTTTATCCATTTTTGTATTTTTGTCCCATAGAGGGTAACACTATGGTTCTAATGAAATTGATCTCATGTCAAAGGAATTTATATTATTTTTTTAGGGATCTTCAAAAGATATTGAATGGACAAGTATATTTACTTGGGCTATTAGCTTGTACCGTAGTCTGAACCAGCGACACCTTGGCGGCTTGGCCGACGTAGCTGCTCTCGGCGTGATTGAACGCCGAGACTCGGCCGGACCGACATGCTGGCGCTTACGTAGCAAATTCAGCGTTAAATTGTGGAGCGCTGAGCCACATATCTTGTGTAAAGTTACTTTTGTACGCCGAACTTTATCAGAAAATGTTTTATGGAGGGTTTATTTATAAAATAAGTTTTTAGAAATGATTAAAATGCAAAATTTTCTCCTCCCTGGGACGCCTCCTCTTTCCGCCCTCGCCGACGTGGCGCTGACACGACACGACGCACGCGGCATCTTACTCACAGCCAGACGAGAGACGCGCGTCGTCGATCGCTCCGTCAGTTGTCGCCGGCTGAAACATACTGTACGTACCGCCTTGACCCAGGCACCCAGCACGAGCAGCCCGGGTGCGCCCCCGCGCGGGGCTTCGCCGGCCGGTGACGCCGGTCGGCACGAGTCCAGCCAGGTCCAGCAGCAGCCGCCGATCGGCACGGCACATCGCGTCAACGCCAATGGTGGAGTCTGGAGTGGAAGTGGAGGACGACGCATGCTGAGGCCAGGAGGCAGCAGGCCAGCAGCGATGCGTTTCTTTTCTTTTCTTTTCCACGCGTTTTTTCCCTTTTCATTAGAAAGGAAAGGAGAGGAGCAGTCAGGGCCGATCGGGTCGGGCCACCGCGGATTGGGAAGAGCAGTGAGGCGGCGGCGGCTGCTGCTGCTCGTGCTACGGAAAGACGATCGCGGCTGCCTTTCCACGGCGGCCTCCTCGCCCAATCGTGTTGCCACTCCTGACTCCCACTCCCGCAGGCGCCGCGCGTGTCCCGTCGCAGACACCGGTCGGCCGGTTTGCTTACGTGCGAAGAATCGGCCTGAAGACCTACGCGGACCGCACGTGGATTCCCAGCCTTTGTCGCTGTCGCGTGCCTGGCCCTTGGATCGCCGATCGGACCGCTAGCGGCCAGCCAGGCGAGTGAGCGGGAGGGCACCGCGCCGCGCGCCCCACTTCCATGTTCGGAGAGCACGGACGGACTCGCGAACGTGGTGCCAACCGAGTCAACTATGCATATGCGTCGCGGACTCGCGGCGCGGCCTTTCGTTCATCCAAGTACAAAACCGCCCAATGAGACAATGACGTGACAGCGCCAGGTATTCTACGCAGAGCGGAAGCAGACAAGAGGTTGTCGTCACCAGCTACTCTACTCACCACAGTCACCAACGCCAAGCCAAACAAATTGGCAATCATCAGGCAGCCACTGGTCCCGCCTGTTCTCCTCCCATGTCATGCTCGTGCTCCCGGAATCTGACAATCTGTAGCTACCGTGCTGTATTTCTCTCCCAAAATGTTTCTCAAACATGCCTGACTGCATGACAGCATGAGCCACGACTAAATTTGTTTAGTTCTTCCCCTAAAATTTCCTACCCTGAAATTTGCGAGACAAATCTTTTAAATCTAATTAGTCCATGATTTGAAAATGTGGCGCTGCAATAACACATATGCTAACGATGGATTAAATAGGCTTAATAAATTCGTCTAATAGATTACTGACGGATTATGTAATTTATTTTTTATTAAAATCCGAACACGTCATACGACGCCTCTCACGTAACACCTGATGTGATACACAAAACTTTACGCGTCTGAATTTGAACGAGGCCCAGTGAACGAATGAATGAAAGAAAAAGGACGGTGAGCCACGCCAGATCTGTTTCGTCCCTTTGAACAGGACCCTTCCAAATCGCTGATTGCTTGACCCATGAGACGAGAGGAGAGAACGGAACACAGGGAATCCACTCATCTTGGTTTAAATTGACTGATTTGCTGCCGGTGCCGGCCGGTCCTCCCCAATCGTCCCCGGCGGTTATAAAACCGGCAAGCCACGCACGGCACGCCTCCTGGCTCCCGTAGCCCCACCCCCCACATCGGCGCATCCCCGTCCCCCCGCTCCGCAAGCGAAGGCGAGGCGAGGTGGGGATACGGGCCGTGAGGGTCGCGCCCACTTCCACGGTTCCACCTCCCCCTCCACTCCCCCCAACCGCCGCCGCCGCCGCCGCCTTATTACACGGCCGCACACGCCCCGGCTCCTCCTCACTCTAGCTAGTACCAATCGCCCATCCAGCCTCATAATCGAGCACCCGACCACCAGCACGCCTCGCGCTCGAGCTTCCCTCCCAACACCGTGCCACCTCCTTCAATGGCTTCTCGGGCGCGCCTGCCGGGCTCGCCGGCCTCGATCGCCGTCGTCATCCTCTCCTTCTTCCAAGGTACGTACGTGGCGGCTCCGATTCATTTCCCCGCCTTGGATTGATTGCCTGGATTCGTGGGGGGATGGATGGGCAAGCCGCAAGTGTGTGTGACTGAACCGTGTCGATTGTTTCCGGTGGCGGTGCTCGCGTCCGTCCGTCCGTCGCGCAGGATCGGTGTGCGGCATCACGTTCACCTTCACCAACCGCTGCGACGACACGGTGTGGCCGGGCCTGCTGTCGGGCTCGGGGACGCCGCCGCTGGAGACCACGGGGTTCGCGCTGTCTCCAGGGCAGTCGCGGTCGCTGTACGCGCCGCAGGGGTGGTCGGGCCGCTTCTGGGGCCGGTCCGGCTGCGCCTTCGACGACTCCGGCAAGGGCTCGTGCGCCACGGGCGACTGCGGGTCCGGCGAGGTCGAGTGCCGGGGGGCCGGGGCGTCCCCGCCCGCCACGCTCGCCGAGTTCACGCTCGACGGCGCGGGGGGCAAGGACTTCTACGACGTCAGCCTCGTCGACGGCTACAACCTGCCCATGCTCGTGCAGGCCGCCGCGCCCGACTGCCCCGACACGGGGTGCCTCGTCGACCTCAACGAGCGCTGCCCCGACGAGCTCCGCGCCGACGACGGCCGCGCCTGCCGCAGCGCGTGCGAGGCGTTCGGCAGCCCCGAGTACTGCTGCAACGGCGCCTACGGCAACCCCAACACCTGCCACCCGTCGCAGTACTCGCAGCTCTTCAAGTCGGCGTGCCCCAAATCCTACAGCTACGCCTACGACGACGCCACCTCCACCTTCACCTGCAACCACACCGATTACACCATCACCTTCTGCCCCAAATCCACTCCGACAAGGTTAGGTTCTTCTTATTACCTCTTGCGCAAATCAGATCGTCCATTCCTTCATCTAGCTCCTTCAGTTTCAGTTTCAGTTTTAAGTTGCAATTTCGAGCTGCAATGCTTGTTTGACATACTCGATTACGTGAGGAGGAGGAGGTCTTGATTCGGAATTCTTAGGCATGGAGCAAAGCAAAGAAGCTTTGATTTGTACTCTTCTCTTTCCCATCCTTTTCCTTCTGTCCACACTCAGCACCCTTGCCTGCCACCTTGTGTGGTGTGTGACTAGAAAGTCACAATTGCCGAGTTGGAACTGCAAGGAACACATCAGACTGATCGAGGGTCTCACATCTGTTGCTCTTGTTGACGAACTACTAGTATACTGTGCAGACTTGATCAATATTCCTTTTGACATATTTGCAGCGACAAATCCAAACATTCGCCGCGGAGGCCAAGCCACGAGCAACTGGAAGACTCAGTGTGGCTCGCATCCTTGAAGGCAAGTGACGCCAGTGCTCTGAAAATAACGTCATGGTGGTCGGCGTCCATTGTGCTCCGATCTGCCCTGGCAATTGCAGTGGTGACCTTGCTTGTTGCACAACTTGCACCGTATCATCCTATGGTCAGCTTGCTATGATTCGGCAAGGTGCGATCCACAAGTTATTTTCAGACTGGAAGAGGATTAGAGCAGCAGTAGTGATCAGCAATGGGTTGAGAATATTCTGTAGGCTTTTTGTTTGTGGATAGGTGCTAGAAAAGGAATGATGTATTACAAGGTGGCAATCGGAATACCATGAATGCATTGCATAAGCTCATTGCCTTTCGGAAACACTTCTCTTTGCATTATTCTCTTTGTGCATCAACTGTTTTTCTTTGGGGGGCGTGATCGACGCCGCATGCTGACCCGGCGTCACATTGGAATGACAAGAATATGCGATCTGATATCTCAAATGGATATTGTAACCATTTGATCTGCACAGGTGCACAGAGTGATGCGATTCAGGTTGCCATGTTGTCGTCGGGTCCCTTTTTCTATTTTTTCAGTAAGGCGCATAAAAAAATATCTCAGATGGATACTGTAACCATTTGATCTGCAGAGGTCGACACTCGACAGAGTAATGTGACTCAGATTAGAACTCTACACCGTCATGGTTGTGTTAAAGTCACTTTGCTTTCTCCTCTAATGTTGCGTGACTAGTTTTGCATTTTGAATGATATAAGCAAGTTAGTGACAGGTCTGATCCAGAGGAAAAGTCTGACAGCTCAATATATGACTAGTTTCCCTGTTTACAAATTTTACTAAATCTGAACATGAACACTGCATAGAATGCCTTACATTTCAGCACAAATTTGGGAGTCATAATGTACTATTTACTAGAATCTAGAATGGATATATGAAACAAAAAGGACAAAAGGTAATTTGATGACATTTTTATTGAAAAAGAAAAGTCGAAGATAGAAAGGCGATCAGTAGTGATGTCTTTGGACAAAGAATGGGCATCCCCGCACTTATCGTGCCCAATCCAAAGAGCTCACCCTCCCCGTAACAGCTGCCCACCCTGCCTCCGCATCAGCCACAATGCGGCCGCCGGACGTACCACCGGGAGCTGGTTGTTCGCAGCGCCGCCGTCCACAGTACCGAGTTTGTTTGCTATGTGGAAGCCTACAAAGCTGCATGCCAACATTGCATCATCTCCCTTGCCTTTGCCGCATCATCTTCCTTGCTTTCGCCTATTAGCTTTTATACAGTATATACTACCAGTATTTGGAAGATCTTAAAATATCATAAATAATAAAAAAAACATTCGAAAGAACAAGATAAGCCATTACTTGTCATAATATAAATATTGGCAGCTTATAATAATGACAAATTTGCTCAAATCATATCTTCAATAAATAGTCAATCCATTGATACCTACACAGAAGACTAGTAACCCAACATTTTAATCCCAAGGAACAATCGCTCAAAGACAAATTCTGCAATTTAATCTCAATGAACAAGTGCTCAAACACAAATTCTGCATTCTTTAATCATCAGCAAGAGACCCCCAAGATGCTAGAAGTTTTATTTTAAGATTGAGAATACATAACCTAGATAAAATATAGGGACTAGATGGAACAGAGTACAGTAACTCTGCTTCTATCATGATCAGAGTACAAAAAATATTTCTGTGACATCAAACACATGAAGTCTTAAAGAAAGGCAGTCATTTACAAAGTGGAACAAATTATCAAGCTCACTGCTCACTGCATATACTTTTTTGAGCGTGATCACTGTATATACTATGTGGTTGGAGATTGCAGATATTCTAGGATAATGTTAACTAATATGTACAAATCCAAGTACAAGAGGGTGCATCCAGAAACCTTCCGCCTCCTTGATGAGGACCTATATTTCTCTCCTGCAGAGACAACATAAGCATACCATTAATCAGCAGTCACCACTGAGTCGTACACAGATTCAACGCATCGTCTCAAAATGTAGAAAACAAAAATCATAGCTCACTGAATAGGACAAAAGAGAATGCAATGCAACTACAAATATAAAGGGCGTACCCAGTGCAGAGAACTCCCGCTCTGTGCGGGGTCTAGGGAAGGATGTCAGTGGCAAGCCTTACCCTCGCCTATGCAATGCGAGGAGACCGCGACTCGAACCCGGGACCTTCCGATCACAGGCGGTAAGACTCTACCGCTTGCACCAGGCCCACCCTTCAAATACCAAAGAACCAATGGATTAATGGAAAAACGTTACTGGTCATAAATAATATATATTAACAGCTATACATCACAAAAATTCAGATAGGCAGCTCCAAGATGCACCATTATTCAATTCAGTCAAGCACATAGCAAGCATATGGGATGCATGTATATATATAAATTTTTCAGCCCAGTTGGAAATGTCATTACCACTCTTCTTGCATGCCAAACAGTAGGTTCAGTCAAGCATATATGAATTATGTGTATGATACTTGCTAATCTCAACTTACAATGGTTGAGACATAAGTAGTGACTGATGAACAGGGGCCGCTGCGTAATTTACATACAAGTTGCCATTATGATTGATTCAAAATATAGACAAAATTTGCTACATAGTCGCCATTATTAGTAGGCGGATCTAATCTCAGGCATGTTATTACTATCTAGAGAGCACTTGCAGATCATGGTCCCAAGAGTCGACAAAACACAAGTGCTGGCATAGACTAGTTAAGAAATTACCAAGGAGAAGCCGACTGCAGCGGCAGAGGTGTTGGTAGGGTTGGATGACGCCTTGACGATGCAGGGTACGACAGAAATTACAAGGGAGATCGCTGTAAGTCCCTTTGTCGGCCAAGAGAAACCAATGGACGTGGAAGAAGTTAAGCAGAAGAGAGGATACTAACTGTAAGCTAATTGAAGCAGAACATACATTTCTTTGGATTGAGCCTGGTCAGCCATGTAGATCAGAGTCCATGCCGGGTTCTCTTGAATGGAGTAAGCCATGCTACAATGCTAACACTCAACTGAATTTGATTTGGATGTGCCTATAGAGATGATGAGATGGAAAAAGGATCTTTTCTTCAGTGGCAGGTGTTAGATGCGCCAGCCATTCAAAAGGCATTTGCACTCAAGGAAAATCCTCCAACACCTAAAAACACCAAAAATCATGTCACAACTGAACCATGGAAAATAACTGAAGACAAAAATGGGTATTATTATTGCCAAAATTATTGTGCATGCCAAGCCATTTATGAAACAAATTATTGTGCATGCCAAGCCATCTATGAATAGTCATACTCTCCTGATTGTACTGGTAAAGATGATCTCTTCCTTCAAGAGAAGCAAAAATACTGACGCTTCTTCTTTTCACGTTCACCTATTGCAAAAAAAGCTCATGACCTACCAAAGGACATTGGTGTTATGTGAGCAGTGGCTGCATGGTATGACATATTAGATATGTAATATCAAAATAACACAAAAGAGGTTATAAACTTCATCCCCATTTCTCACTCCAGTCTGAGCAAACAAAAGAACAAGATTTATCATTAGTTAACTAGATAGTTTTTTTTTAGATCAAAGTGAACTAGATAGATCATTGCAACAGATGAGAAGATAAGAAAACTGCACATCTAATTACCTCCCTTCTAATATATAAACTCATCGTTTCAGGAAAGAAAGGTGTAATTATCTAAACATTCTGATAAACAACTTGTATGTTAATTGTGACAAGAATAAATATTTCTTGAGAAAGCAATAAGGTAGTCACTAATAATCACACACAAATGCAATCTGATTCCAAGAAACCACACATGTTCCTAATCTTGCTTCTTCTCCACTAATAGTGTAGTAGTTAAATATAAACAAACAAATAAGTAGACACAGAAGCATTTAGTCTAATCAATAGAGTTGACAGTATGTGCATCCTTAGTAGTACCATTAGCTTCAGGTTCTGTTTATTTGCTCAAACTGTTACTGATTGGTAATAATTGAGGAGTTCACAACTCCATAGTAATTCTCACCTTCTGCAGCATTTATCAAGGTTCTTTCAGTATCATTGATTGTATTTAAGTATAAAACAAAAATAGTAAAAAAATGATAGCAGAGACAAGCAGATTTTGAATTGCCCACATACACCAATGGTCACAAATAGGATCTCATCAAGTATCTTTAAGACAAATCAAGATGGTTAAACTAACTAGTACTAAAAAGGCAGTACAGTTAAACAAAAAAAAAGGCAGCACCTACGAATCGAAGAATCCTCAACAAAATCAACAGATACAGCAATTCGCTATCTCAAGCTACAACAAGTTAAGGAGCTAAATCAATTTTTGGCGTGTTTAATCATGCATCCAGCACCATGGTCTCATTGCGAAGTCAAAACCAGGCACCAAATCAGACAGAGTTCATGAAAGCGAAACAGTCATCGTCCTCCACCAGCGCGGGCAAGTCCTGATCATTGCCTGCTCCTGCGCCCGCCCCATCAGCAGGATTGGCGTTGACAACATCAGCCACCGCCACAGGAAGAGAAGTCACGTACTCGGCCTGTGGTGCAAGCGGGTACTCACCGATGAACAGGGCAGGATCTTCCTCTGCAGCAACGCGGGCAAGTCCTGATCATTGCCTGCTCCTGCGCCCGCCCCATCAGCAGGATTGGCATTGACAACATCAGCCGCCGCCACAGGAAGAGAAGTGGCGTGCTCGGCCTGCGGTGCTAGTGGGTACTCACCGATGAACAGTGCAGGATCTTCATCCGCGGTACACGAGGTAGTGGCGAGGGTTGCATCGTCCACTTCATCATCGTCCTCACCGTCGCTGCCCCAGTCGTCCGCATCCCTGTTGTGCTTCTTGGCGTTCTTGCCGTGGCCACTGTGGCGGGTGCAGTACACCCTCATCGGCGACCGAGCGAACTCAGGTGGGGAAGTGATGGAGTACTCGTGCATGACCCAGCCCGTGCTGCCTTTGACGCCGTGCTCGTGGAAGCTGAGCGCGTACTTCTCCCACTCGATCTCCTTGGTGCGGCCGCACACGCTCACGCGCATGCGCTTCTTGGTTTCCTTTTCCTTGCCTTCTTCCTGGCGCTTTCTCTTGCCCTGCCCTTCCCAGGTCCCGTGTCCCTCGCAGGTCCGCTTCTGGCGGTTGCCCTTGGCGTTCAGGGCCTGC